GAGAGAGAGAGAGAGAGAGAGAGAGAGAATCTGAAAACATTGAACAGATGGTCCCTTTGAGTTCAGGGAGGTGGGTCTGCTGGTTTGAGGTTTGTTGTTTTTTAAACAGTGGCTGTTGCTAACAACCCAGAGTGCTCAGTTCTGGGTGAGATCCCTCTGGGCAGCAATGATTTCCATTGCTGGGACAAAGTATCGGAGACTAACAACCTGGAGGAAATATCTGTTTGGGCTCATAGTTTCCGAAGTCTCAGTCCCTGCTAGGCTGACTCCATTTTTTTTTCTGGGCCAGTGTGAGGCAGAAATCATGGCGGCATAGTGTAGTGGGGTAAAGCTGCTTACTTCATGGAGGCCAGAGGCAGGGGAAGAGGGAAGGAGAGACACCACGGACAAAATAAACCCTTCAGATGCACGTTCCCCCATGAACACATGTAACTAGGCCACCTCCTGCAGTCTCTAGGCCCCAAAGTGCCTCAGCTGGAGTTCAAGCCTTCAGCACAGGAGCCTATGGGGTCATATCAGACGTCAAGTACAACAGCCCCCTTGTCTTCTTTCTGGGCCAGTCAACCCTGTCACCGGGTTTGGGTCTTGCTCTCTTCTTGAGGACTGTAGCTAGCCTTCAACAGGAGGTTCCAGAGTTGGTGATTAATCTAGGAAATTACCTGCCCCCCCCATAACTGCCTAATTTCTGATCTAGCAAGTGTTTTCCTTGTGGCCAGTCTTGCAACCTGCTAGATGGGTGAGGAGGGATGTCAGGAAACTGTATTTTCTTTTCAAAAAAGGGGGCTCTTCATTCTCTTCTTTTCCCAAGTCAGCCTTCTTTCTCCAACTAAAACCTCCCCCTTGCCCAGAAGAAACCCCTTTCCCAAAACACCATGGCCATCTGCAGAGCAGAGTATGCTGGGTAGGAGCCAGTCGGGCCACTGGGGGCACGTCCACGCTGTGCTGCTTACTAGCTGCTTGGCTTCTGGCAGGTGACTTGACTTCTCTGTGCCAGTGTTTCTCTTTGGTGAAATGGAATGGCAGTATCTACTCGTGCAACAGTCATAGCATTAAGTGAGATCAGGAATGTAAAGTGTTTGGCACATATAATGTTTCCAATAATAGTCCCTATGTTAAAGCCCTATGATTAATAGTATATTTTATCTGTCTATGCACGTATGTATTGCATCTATGCATATATGTGTGTATTTGCTTTAAATATTTTATACACTATGGAATATATACTATTGTTTTATGCATAACAGTATTCATGATGAGAGTAGCAGTCATCTCAGCAGTGAAGCTGAGCAGTTCCTAGGAGTCCAATAGATCTGGAAAACCCACCTGTTCCTAGTTCCCAGGCCTCAGAAACATGCAGCAGATAGAGGTCCCCAGTGAATCATAAGCTGAGTTTTCCCCTCTGGGAGTGCAGGGTGGTAGCACCGGCTGTCACCTGCTCAGTGTGTCAGGGGAAGAGCGTGGCCAGAGCCTTGTGGCCAGCGCTGGCTGTGACAACAGTCTTGGCCAAGTTCCTAAGTCATAGATAGGCTGTCCCTACCTGAAGAGAGAGCCACGGGCCTGCCAGCTCTCTGTGGGGCCTCGTGGGCCAGATGAACATTAACTCTTCTCCTGTGGTGTTGATAACACCCTACGTCTCCAGTGACAGCTACTCAGTTGTTCGACTTTATTACCAGCCTAGAGCAGGAGGTTGGGAAGATGGGCTCCTTCTGAAGCTGCCTTCTCCCTGCCCAGCTCCTCTGCACTAACAGCTGCTGTGTGTACATGCAGGCGTCTGTCTGGAACCCTGGGGACTGTGATGCTGTGGTGTCACTCCCCAGCCCAGGAACAAGAAGCAGCTCTTGAACACCAGCAGCCTGCTGCAGACACTGAGCCCTGGCTTCCCCCAATTTGCCCAGGGGTTGTTCTTTTGTTGTCTCATTTGGTCTTAATTACGATAATTCACATTATACTTTGTGGAGGCACCGTGGACCAAGAGCAGGAGGGGTGATGTAATGTTTAGGGATGGATGCACTTGCCTTGGGGACCCGGGGAGGGCCAGGCATTACGATAGGCATATGACACTCTCGTCTATATCATCCTTGTTACCGTACCTGACGGTGCAGCACACGGGGTTGGGAAATGGGGCTGTGCTGTGTGCATACGGGGCCTGGGTGGGGAGCTGGCTTCACACCCGTGTTCCTGTGGGCTAAGAATGAATGAAGAAGTGGTGACAGCTACTGGACTGGCCCTTCTCAGATCACATGGATCTCTAGACTCTAGAGGTGGGGAGAAATGCATCCCACAGCTGCATTTGAGTTTGCCAGCACAGCATTTGAACAACTGAACAACTCATTCTTAGAGAGAGTGTGGGTTCCAGTGCCTCATCACTTCCAGCTGCTCCAGGCACATCCCATGTCATTTTTTCCCCTCCTATTTGCCCAGTCCTGAAGGCAGTGGACTTTGCTACATCTGTTTGGTGTTTCCCGATGACTTTGACCAACTAGGTTGGTTGCAGTATACTGTATAGTAACAGCCTATAGAAATGTCATAATGCATCCCAGCATATTAAATTCCTGAAAAGTTATGCAGCTTATTAAAAAACTCACTGTTTATCTTTGCTTAAGTTAATATTTTCCAAAATTATTTGATTGTGAACCCCTTTTCCCTGAAGCATACCTAAGCCCATCTTATGGGACCAGAGTGGCCAATAGAATATTGTTTTAGAAACACCAGCCTGTTTTCTCTTGTCATCTAGATTTGAAGGCATAAGGAATAGATCTCTAGGCACAAAATCCAATAACTATAAAGAAAAAGCCTGACAAATTTGACAACATGCAAATTAAAATCTTACTATACAAGGGAAGATATGATAAACAAAGCTAAAAGATAAGCAACGAACAATAGAAAAGCAAGAGGAAATTCTTGCAAAAGTGATACCACAAAAGAGTTAATATTAATAATGCCTAGAGAATTCTGCAAACTAATAAGAGAAGAATCCCCCAAAAAGAAGGATGGAAGAAGGATATGAACAAGCAACTTAATAACTACAAGTATTCAGTAAGTGTAGAAAAGATGCCCAGCTGTGCTGCCAACCAAAGAGGTGCAAATTGTTCATCAGATTGACAAAAATTAAAAAGGTTATATATTCAGTGTTAGCAAGGTTGTGGGGGAAAAGACAGTAAAAAGAAATTGGCCACTGCTTCTTTCAAGGTAACTTGAGATCTACTGCAGTTCACATCTATCCATTTTGATGAACTAGTTCCTCTTTGAGCAATCCCCCCTGTAGGGATTCTTACCAATACAAGGAGATCTATGTGTTAAATGTCATCTTACCACACATTGTATAATTAAGAAAAACTGAGAATAGCATGGAGCCCATCTGCAGGGGAAGGGTTGAAGGAGGTGTCGCATACCATTCAGGCACTTAGAATGCTGGCCAGAAATGAAGAGAGCACACGCTGTGATATGGCATGCCAAGGTCATAGTGGCACATGGCTATTTGCAGAAAGCAAGTTAAAGAGCTGTGTATTTGCATGCATGCATGTGTGCACACACACACACACACACACACACAACACACACGTACTCGTGCATGATCAAAATCTGGAAGGAAATTCCCCACACTGTTAATAGTGGTCTCTTCTGGGAAGGACAGATTGGGGCTGAGATGAAAATGTGGGGCTTCAGGGACGATTTTCACCCCCAAAACCTTATTTTATGTGATTTATTTTTTGTATATAAAATCCATGGTACTGATAGTATAAATCATAAACAACAAGGAGAAAAGGATGAAGGGGTAGAAAGAGCTGGCATTTGAGGAAGGGGGTCATGCAGCTTCAGGGTTCCAAGGAATGGATCTTGGAGCAGCCTGCCTGAATTTGAATCCTGGCTGACACTTGCCAACTTTTTGACCTTGGGTTAGTTACTGAATCTTAATGCGACTGAGCTTCCTTATCTATGGAAATAATATCTCCCTTGCAGGGCTGTAATTAAGAAGCTAATATATTCACAGCGTTCAGCACAGCGTCTGCCCCATTGTAAATTCTCAGAGAAGAGTCATCATCATTATTTAAATAAGACGCTTATTTGTGTATGGCTAGGAGTAAGATTTTCTTTAAGAAAGTAATTTTCATGATTTTTATTTGGGTCTGATTGCCAAAGGATGATAATACTGATAACAGAAGACCTACAGCATAGAAAATAAAAGAATAAAAAATGCATACTTCCATTTGATTCTGAGACATTCTTTTCCATCCATGTGACCTGCAAGTCCCTCTGCTGAACTTAGAGTCTGTCTGGTTGCCTGGCAAATGGTGCTGCTGTGCTGGGGGTGGGTGTGGCTCACGTCTCTGGATGTGCATTTATTACCTGGAAGGAAAGTAACAACCCAGCACAGTTGCAGCTTTTTTAGCCGAGCTGTAGCCCAATGCTTGCCCACTATCATTTACATTCCCACTATTTTTTGCTCATTAAAGAGACCATGGAGAGAAAATATAAATAACTCAGTCCAAGCCATTCTTGCCACCAGCAAATCAATTCAAGCACACTATCTTCTAAGAAGAATAAAAATGATCATTTATTGAACATGTAAAATATGCAGGAGGTTCTGCTAGATGCCTCATGCACATTCTTTTCTATTCTTCACAATCCTGCAAAATAAATATCACTTTTCCTCTTTTAAMGACATGGACTCTGACAATCAGAGAGGTTAAGTGTTTTGTCCAAAGCCACATGGCTAAGATGGTGTGCAAATAGAATTTGACCCCAGATCTGCATCACTTCCAAGTCTATGATGGTTCTACTGTATGATGGCAGCATCTTAGACAGAAACGGGGACCTCTCTTTTATGTGCAGAAAAGTGCAGGCCTGGGTTTCAATCCACCCACAGCCTCGCATCATGTGGCAGGTCCTGGGTGCAGGGTCTTTCAACTCTGATCGGTGTTGTGTCGTAGAGCGTCCTCCTCACCCTCCCCGAATTGCTGGATGTGGCCTCACTCATGTTTATTTCATGTTCCACCCAGGTGGCGGCTTTGAAATACATCCCATCTGTCCTCCACGATGTTGAAACGGTCTTTGATGCAAAGTTACTCAGGTGAGAGCCTATGATGTACTTTCCCCGGTTCTGCTGTCAGCCAGGAATTCAAAGGGAAAGGAGGGCTCTGTGGGGAGTTCCAGACGGGCGCTCAGTTCAGGGACAGGGTAACCACGAGGCAGGCCTGGGGACTCCTACATGGGAATATTTACCTTTTAGTTTTGTTGTGTCAGACTTTGATGAAAACCATAAGCATCCCTGTGAAGCTACAGAAGGTAAACACATAGAGAAGAGATGTTTGTTTGGGGCAAATGTTTCAATTGGACCTGGGCTTGAAGGTTGCTCAGGTTCTAGTCTTTGCCTCCTAAGCCCTATAGTGGCAAGGGGAGGACACCCTAAGGACACAGGGCAGACAATGGAGTTGGGCTCTCTTGTGCTTCTGCTTTTTAACTCCATTCATCTCRTGGATGAGCCCATAATTTTAATGTGATTATCCTGGTGAAATAGGGGTCTTTGGATCTGATATACCCTCATCTTTTTTTCTTGTCCTTAAATTTGCTTGAGTTCCTAGATAACAGGAGATTTAAAAAAAAAAAAAAAAACCACCTTTTTATGTTTAAATACTTTTCTGTTTGAAGATGGTACACAGAGTTCCCACATGCCCTTCCCTGCTGTCCACAAGGCTCATGTTTGCATAACTGCCACCCATGGATTGAAATTGAGAAATCGTCCTTGGTGCAGCTTTTATAACTATACTCCAATATTCACTTGATATCATTGAGCTCCAATTTTTTCACAGATGTCCCTTTTTTGTTCACGTTAAGATCTTTTGCCGGCTCTTTCTTGTCCTTCAGCTTCAGGCTCAATGTTAACTTTTCAGAAAAGCTACTGCTGAATATTGTAAATCAATCAAATCCTCGCTGACCCCTGGCCCCTTGTTCTCTGACATAGCTTCCTATTTATCTCCTTTGTTGCATTGATCACAGCATGTTGCTTTGTTGGTGTCTGCGTTGTGTGTGCGTCTCCACTGGAATGTAAGATCCATGCCAACTGGAACCAAGTCTGTTCCCATGACTCTCATTTCTCTGCATGTTGCCTGTCACAAACTAAGTAGATGCTTAATAAATACTTGAAAGGATGAATGAATTCCATCATGTTGTTTTTTTCTGGAAAGCTGACAGGGACTGTTATTCTGTTTTGAGATATTTTTATTTTTATCTGGAAAGAGCTATCTCCTTTTTGATGCCCCGAACTATCTGCAACCCACCAATTTTTCACAGATGTTCTTAAAGTTAAGGACCTTTTTTGATCCCAAGACGTATCATAAAGTATTTCCAAGCATAAGCCATTTATAAATAAAATGATATGCTGATGAAGTCAGCACTTGGTTTTCTTGTTGCTTTGACTCTCTAGCTGCCTGACCTTGGGAAAGTTAGTTGACCTTTTTAAAGCTGATTTTTCTCTCTTGTAACATTGGGATGAATATCTATCCAACTATAGAGTTCCGAGGTTTAAATGGCAGTGCGTGCAATGTACTGGGTATGCAGTAAGGACCCAGGGTTGATGGTGCCACTTTCAGATTTTTATATCTCTTCAAATGCTCGTAACACTCAACACCAACCACAGCTGACACATCTTTGCTGGAGACTTGCTGTGCCCCTGAGCTCTGTCAGGAACTGAGGGTCTGAGGGGAGCAGGAGTGACCCTGGCACCCCAGGAGGCTCTGTCAGTGCTGGGGGGGGGGCAGGACGCTGGGTCTAATTTGCTCTCCCTGACTCCCATTTCCAGCCAGCTCCTCTATGAGTTCTACACCTGCATCCCCCCTGTGAAACTGCAGAAGCARAAGGTTCAATCCATGAAGGAGATCGTCCAAAGCAATCTCTTTAAAAAGCAAGGTGAGTGCAAGGCGTCCSGGTTGGGTGAGTCCTCTTTTGGAACCTGGCAGGAGAGGGCGACCTGTCTTTCCTCACTGCTCCCTTAGTCCACACGAGGGTGCGAAGTGGAGAGTGGCTGCTGGCTCAGATTTCAGAAGCTAAACTGATTTGAGGGATTCTTAGGTTGCAGTGTTTATTTTTCTTGAGAAAAAGTAATGTTTGGAGACGCGTATAGACCTTAGGTCATTGTGGTATGAGAAGATTTCTCTCTGCATGATTTACTATTGCTGTCTGTAACCTGAAGGGAGGTGGCCAGGTTCCTTTTAATAGAACTGATCTTTGGGAAGTTCTCAAAACTTCAAGGATGTAAGAATAATCTGGAAACATTGTTAAAATGTGGATTCCTGGGGCCCAGCTCAGAGATTCTGATTGAGTAGGATTTGTAGGGTCTCTTTTTTTTTTTTTTTAGCTTTTTAAAAATGTAAATTATTCTTGAATAGGTAATACATTTATATGGATCTAAATGCAAAGATATGAAAAGGTGCCTTTGGACCTGTGTGTGACCACTCCAGGGCCTTCTCCAGAGGAAGCCAGTCTTCCCAGCCTCTATGTTTGCTTCTGTAACCCTCCTTGCATATATAATCAAAGAGATGGGCTATATTTTCTCTCTTGGCTTTTTATTATTATCGCTCAAAGGAAGATAATTCCTCTGAACTTTGACTAATTTCACTTAATGGCATCTTTTGGAGATTAGGGAATGACAGGATTTAAACAAAGTGGCTGTCCCCTTAAACTGCATCCTATTGTCAAGAGACTAGGGGTTCTTGTTTCTGAGGCCAGTGAACTAGATGTCCAGAGCTCCTCCAGATGTGATGGGGGCGGGGGTCCAGAAGTTCATTTTCACCCCCTGGCTCCTTTCTGACACAGCAGTCTGCATTCCTGGATCATGCAAAACGGAGCATACCCTTTGCCCCTCTTTGCTTACCTGTTCAGAACCTCGYATTCCTCTCCCCTCTAGAAGAGTGAAAGGATGACTTTGGAGGTCAGCACTGTTTTTTTGAACCCTAAGACCAGCCCTTTCCAATTTTAAATTCCTCTGTCCACACTGAAGTCAATAATAAAATGAGACACAAACTGAGAAACTGGAGTCTTAGAATCCAGAGGCTCTGCCTGGCCCAACTGGAATTTATTCAGGGAGTGAAGCTGGAATATTTATGTAAAGTGCCTGGTAATCACAGAGACATTCAGAAACCACTTCACTGTAAAGGTGTTTTTCTTGCCCAGTCTTGGTTAGCATGGTGCATCCTAAATTGCTGTCTGGATCCTGTCCTGGGGTTAGGGTAGGAGAGAGACACACACGGGGAAAGCAGGTATTCCTGTGATTTTCATATTCATGTGTGTGKCTTCCTGACCATTTAGGTGTGAGAACATTTTAATCCAACACGTATGTGGTTGTTTTGTGCAGGGTGATTTGAGCAAAGTGATGAGACTGAACCTTGGTAAGCCCAGCTGCCCATTTTCCATCACTGCTGCTTCATGAAGTGAGATGTTTGTGTTTGTAAGGTTCTGATTTCCACATCCAGGTGAACGTCCCCTCACTCTGAAGGCCCTGAAACATGCCTGCCTTTTCCTGCTCTGGCAGCCCCTGCTGGGATTTTGGGTGGCATCACCATTGAGACAAATTGAGTCCAGTCCTAGGGACGTAACAAGGACACCTGCAGCTACACATGGCATTGCGCAGGCGACAGGGGGCTGGCTAGTTGGTTCTCCTTCATTGTTCTGAGCTGCCATTATTATCAGGGGTCCTGCTTAGCACGGAGGCCAGATGGAGAGTGAGCATGGCCCAGACTGGGCATGTGAGTCAATCCCAGCCTGTGGAAGTACGAGTAATCCCTCTCCTGGAGCCCCCTCTCCTGGGCTGCGAGGGGCCCCTCAAGGGCTAGGAGGGTCACAGGGCAGCTGGCCAGCTGCTGCTTCCCAGTCCTGCTGTGCGGCAGCTTTAGATTCTGTAAAAACCCTCTGATTAATATTAACCGACAGGAGGCCAGCCCTATTGTTGTTCACGGTGACAAAGGCAATGTAAAATTCCTACCTCCAAATAGATCCAGAGACTAGGAACAGGCAAACAAAGTACCCTTGGGTCCCTGCTTTCCAGAGGACACAGAGCATCATGCGTCTACCCATCCCTGGCGCTGGAGGGYGGTGGGCTCTTGGGCTCAGCTGTCCCACTCTTTATTTGCTAAGTGAACCCTTTACTGAATGGCCCCAGAGGGAAGCTTCYGCTCCTCCCCTTTCTGAAGGGCTCAGTTCCAGATGGACAGGCTGAGTTCATGGACACCTGCTGGTGTCCACTGTTTTGGGGCGAGTGTCTACCCTCATCCCCTTCACCAAGGTGAGCTTGGTCCCTCTGGCCAAACTCAAGCTGTCATGAATGCCTCCTGTAATTCTCCTGTGAAGCGCCCTGTGCCTTGGGACGGATCTGCTTTGGGCTACTCTCATGTAAGTGCCAGATGTGCAAGCTCCTGGAGCCTTGTCGGAGGCGTTGGCTTGCACTCAMCACCCTCAGCATTTGTGTGGGCCTCCAGCAGATGGGCCAGGAGGCTTGTAAGCACTCTGTCAGATTTTGGCAGGCTACCTTATTAACCTCTCTTTGGGAGGATCCCCCACAGAGGGGCCCAGGGTTTACTGGAGAGGAGCACTGGCACTTGGGTCATTTCATTTAATTTAATTCCTGGATCAGTCCCTTATCAGCTGTGTCACCATGGATGACTTTAGAATTTTTTTTTAGTTGTAGATAGACACAATACCTTTATTTTGTTTATTTATTTTTATGTGGTGCTGAGGATCGAACCTAGACCCTCGTGTGAAGCGAGCGTTCTATTGCTGAGCCACAACTCCAGCCCCCGTGGATGATTTTTTAACCTCTCTGATCCTCAGGAAGCTCATCTGTAAAATGGGAATAATAAAATAGTGTCTGCCTTAGAAGGTTGTTCTCTAGGCTAGTGAGATGTATGAGGCATTTAAAGCACTTAGTGCAACATCACTTTCAGTGCAATGTTCTGTACAGAGTGATGACTTTCACTGTTCATGGTGCGGATTTTCCCTCCTGCAGTCTCTCAGCCACTATCCTGACCTTTAGATTCCTTGTGATAAGCGAGTCTCTTCCTGTTGCATAGCTACACTTCACCCTAAGCCCTGGAAGCCACATGTTTTTCCTCGGGGAGGGGGGGGGTCTGGAGCACCTGGGACTTGATGAATGAAAGGGCCTGGGTCTGTAAGTTCTTCCCATTTTTGTTCCACTTCCCCAGAGCATTTTTGCAAAAGGTAGGTGTTTGGTATTTCTAGAAGGAGGCTGGGCAGGAGAGGGTTGGTGGCCTCTCCCTTCGCTGTTCACGTTGCTCCAGGCCTTACCATACTCGTGTGGTCCTGGACACTTGCCAGCCATCCTCTCTGGTGGTTTGGCCCTTGGGACTCTTTAAAGAATGGAGKCAGCCAGCCTCACTGGCCTCCACTGTTCTTTGCCCTGCAATCTTGAGTCAGCTACCCAATCCTAGAGCATCTTCATGTCCTCACCTGTAACATGGGCACAGCCACAGGCTGGATTGCTGGATTGCCTTGCAGGCCCGATGGTATGATGTGGCTTATTAGCACACACCAAGTGAGTGAGGAGTAGCCAGTGATAGTGGCTCCACACAGGGTRGCTTCCTTGTGCGAATGACCTCAGAGTTCAGCGGGAAGAGAACTGAGAATCTATAGGGATTAATCTCTGTCCTCTCCAACACAAGCTCAGACATGCCCGGTGGCTCTGAGGGGAGCAGGGAGGACTAGATATGCCCCCAGGAGGCTCCGAGGGGAGCCCTCGAGGAAACCAAGCCTTCTGCACTGTTGGAACGGATTTGTCCCCATGAGAACCTCATCTCTAAGTAATGTTGTCTGTTTCGTCTGATGCTAATCAGATGCGCCATCTGGTTCAGTGTAAACTGCTTAGAATCYACACTGCTCACTTCTCTCCTCAACCTCCAAACAGAGGGAGGGGGAAAGCACACACGCGCAGGAGTGAGCTGGTGAAGATTTGGAAACGCTTCCCATGTTGATTTCCAGCTACCAGGACTCCTCACTGGGGACTTTGCCGAGAGGCTGTGTGGGCAGCACACGTGCCTGAGCGTCCTCCACAGAGCTGCAGCTGCCTGCTCCTGCCTGCTCCTTGACCATGGGCTGCAGTATCTGCAGCAGCTGCGCCTCAAGTCACAGTTCATGGTGGCCAGGCAGCTGTGTGGGGAGGGGAGGCCGAGTGTGCCCAGTGCCATAAGGCCTTTATCTTTTCCAGTATTATTGCAGCATCAGGTTGGGAAAAGAGCAAAGTCCCCTGACTCTAGTGATGGCTTTGCTTGGTGAGCTTTTATAATGTCACTGAGCCTTGGGTTCTGTGTCTGAAATATGAACAGGAATGTCACCATGAGAATAAGGGAGACTTTTTTGTTCAGAACATCCTTCTTTCTGATCCTGACCTGGTCACTAATTAGCTGCATTCCTTTAAACAAGTAACCTCTCTCAGCTTCAGTTTCTTTAGCTACACAACTGTGATTAACTTATGCAGAACAACCAGCAGGAAGCCTGAGATGTACTAGCTGCCCATGGAAAAGTGTCGGTCACAATAGCAACCACAGCAAAATAATGACATCAACAGTATCTTTAAAGAACAGACACGTTTATTTAAGTGACAACTCTGTAACAGATGCTGTATGGCACATACATATGTTATATTCTTACAACAACCCCTATCTTATTATAATTGGGGAAACTGAGGTCTAGGAAGTTTAGTAACTTGTATCCCAATCAGACCAAAGGCTATACAATGTGTTACGTTATTAGCATAATGATTCTGCAGTGACAGATCAGTGGGTTTTTATAGCAGATTCTCAGTGGGTTTAACAGTGTAAAGGTTTTTGTTCCTGTGCAAAGTCTGGCAAAGGTCATGTGCCTTTTGTCCTTTGTAAAGTTGTGCCAGCTGGTCCCCAAGG